TTGTTCGAATCTTTTATGCAGCATATATGCTGCAGAGCTAAGTCTGCTGCTTGCTAGTCTGGATATATGGTGATCACAATTAAGTTTAGCATCGAAAGTTACTTTATTTTTTTATTTATTTATTTTTTTATTCTTTATTGCATTCCTTAATCTAAAAGAATACAAAGGGCTTAGTGCCAATAGGACTTAATGCCTTGTGGCATTCTCTACCAGTCAACCCATGGAGTGGTGAGAATTTGAAGTAGGTGTAGCAATATAGAATAAAAACAAAATAGAAATTTATAATTAATTACGTTATATATACATTTTACTAATATATACAATAAATAAACTATAAAAATATATCCTATTTATACATGTATACAAATACATACGTACATACATAAGCATACATATATTCATACCAACATACATATACAAATAATACATATAAATAACTATAAATATATACGTCTAAAATATAAATGACATGGATGATTCATCTAAGAAGCGTTGTTTTTAACAGATGATTACGCAGCAACTTTTTAAAAGCAAACTTATTGGGAGCTTTTCTGATGTCGTCAGACAAGGAGTTCCAAAGGCGTGCAGCCTGAACTGTAAAGGAGTTACCATAGAACTCGGTGAAGTGAACTGGAACACATATTTTGTTGTTAGAAGACGAACGTAGAACCCTATCATGAGATGAGGAGAGATAGTGAAATTTGCTCTTAAGATAAGAAGGCGAAAATGGGTCATTTAATATGGAAAAAAGAACTAGTAATATTCTGGAAATACGCCTCTGCCGGATTGTAAGCCAATTAAGCTTAGATCTATATTACTTATATGATTTAATTAAGTAGATTCAAGGAATTTGTACATAATAATTAATAAACCAATTTTAATATTTATGTGCCTCATTCACAATTCAAATCATCGCTAATTGAGCTGTAAAGTGTAATTGCGATCTAGTAGACCACAATTATTATAAAACACCTTTGATAGTAAATTACATATTTTTTCATAGTATGCAAGTGACAAGAGAATTAACTATACACACACTGTTTTATACGTGGTAGAGCCATGCTGCAGCTATATTAGTAGAATAGTTGTAGCACGAATGGGTCGGCTCCACCGGGGAAGGACCACGCTCTCACAGAATACCAGCGTAAAATAACAGCTTAACGCTGCTTTGTTTCGTATGGTGAGTGTAGAGAACCGGAGACCCTTTTTAGTGGAAAAGAGGCGTTCCATCTTAGTCCTCACGGGTGACAACGCATCTGCATTTTGATTCGCAAACGAGGATAAATGTAGATGTCTATGGGCCACAGCAACCTCTTACCTTTTGGTGGACTGTGTGCTCGTTTATCAACCTATTCTATAAAAAAAACACCTGAGAGTCAGTGGCTATTGCAGTCCATGGACACGTAACCCAAGGTAAAGCAAAAAAGCTTTAAATGAGATTTTACCACGGAGAAGTAAGTATACCTCTCAGCCTATAATTAAACTGGTTCTCATTACCTTTCAGATCGGAATACAGCTGTGCACCAGTAAAAAAGGGTAAAAAAACTAAAAATGCTGCTATGCTATAAGAATGTTCGTATGGTGCGTGTAGAGAACTTGAGACCTTTTTTCTGGAAACTCTGTGGTGACAACGCATCTGCATTTTGATTCTTAATCGAGGATAGATGTACATCGATGTCTATGGGAAACAGCATCCATTTACCGTCAGGTGGACTGTGTGGTCGTTTGCCACCCTTATTATAATAGGTCGGGGAAGAAGTTCCTTCGTATCTTGTGATTGTATAAAATTGAAGAAAAATCTCTTTAGTTGGACTATTATAAATCCGTAGGCATATAAGTTTAAAATTATTAAAAATATTTTTATCATATGATGTAACTAAAAATTTATGCTTTTCGCAATTTTTCCTTTATCTGTGCTATAAAACGTTAAAATTTTAAGATTCTGAGTTCACGGGAAGTACCCTGCAGGTTTTGATTTTTGCGAATATCGAAAATTTGCGGCATAAACGGCTGTATCTTTTGATTGCCTTGGCTTAGAAGTTTGAATTTTTCACAGCTCCAAGGGACAGTAGACATGAGTATTTAATATGAATTTCAGCTTGATGCCTCCACGCGTTCCTGAGAAAAATGGTCTTGACAGACAAACAGACAGACGGACAACAAAGTGATCCTATAAGGGTTCCGTTTTTTCTTTTTGAGGTGTTTTATAAGCCACAGCATTCACTTGGTAGACTGTGTATTCGTTTTTCACCCTTATTGTGTACATAAACTCGGCTTGCAAAAGCAATATGAAGTCTTTAAGGGGGTCAAAGTCAATTTAGACTTGTTCAAAGCTCTTATGAACTTCAAAATCTACACCAGTTTCGAACCAAGACCTTCTCAGAGAAAAACCGGCAAGGAACTATGTGATGTTTTAATTTTTTGCCATATTAAAATTTCTTACATAAATGTCATATATACATATGTAACATATAAAATAACAGTAGTAACAGATATACTAAGAGATGTACAGCCTCTTTTTACATCATAGTTAATGTATATGATAGAAGTAAATTATAATGCATAAATTAGCAATTTTTTTGATAATTAACGATCTAACATTTAACTAAAACTAGCCCTGAAGTATCGTGTAATTAAATAGAATATTAAAAAAAAAAAACAATAATTCACGCTCTAAAAATTTTCAACACGCAGCAGTGAAGGAAAACATCGTGAGGAAACTTGCATACCTGAAAAATTAAATATGTTTCGAGGATATGTCAAGACCACATATCCAGTGAAGCTGCAAGTCAGTCTCATCGCTACAGCTTTAACTTCTCAAAAATTACGCCTGCTCAAGTAGGATGTTAATATTGCGTTTATTTATTGTTTTATTCTGATAACTTTTACAAGAAAACAAATCGTAAAAATACTACATTTAAAAGAAATTAATTGATAATTATCAATAATAAAAACAAAACATTCTCCGTGGCGTCGGTTAAAAAATACCAGTCAACATAGCTCAATGGATTAGTAAGCCGATGTGGCAGTGGGCCGGCCATATAGCTCGAAGAACCGACAACCGATGGGGAGGAAAGGTTCTCGAGTGGCAGCCTCTTATCGGTAGGCGAAGTGTAGGGCGTCCCCCCATTAGATGGAATGACGACCAGGTAAGACATGCAGGAAGTCGATGGATGCAGGTGGCTCAGGACTGCGCTTCGTGGCATTTCTTGGGGGAGGCCTCTGTTCAGTAGTGGACTTGTGAAGGCCTACAATGAAGTGAGCTCGCGGTTTGACCGCTATAAGGACTAAAATAGGCCCAATTAGGACGATGGTAACTGAAGAACTTATTTACCAAGCAAACTTATATTGAATGGTATATAAATAATATTCAAAAACTTTTCAATTTTGAAAACAATATAATCTACAAAATCAAATCATTCACATGTGAAGTCCGTACAAAAATAGTCATAGTTCACTATCCATCTATTAGTTTCCCACAGTGTAACCCTAACATGTACATGACCGTAACGAATCTTTCCGTAAACCATCACCGCCCTAAACTATTCTGAGGGTTGCCCGCGTAGTCCAAGAGCACCACGAATGAAACAGTATGATGCTGTATGAATGTATCAATACTGTGAATGAGGCCTGCAATAACTACAAACTAAACAATAAGCGAAAGTGATATGTCAGGATCGGAATAACGAAATTTTAGTGCATTTTATAAGTTGGTCGATTGGTACTCGTTAACGACGTCCGCCACGCTGCCTCAATGCGTGTTGGCAGACTTCACAAAACAATTAATTATGTTTGTTTCTCAGACATGCAAGTTTCCTCACGATGATTTCTTTTACCGACGAGCGCGTAATCAGCACTTCAAATTGCTTTTAGCAATTTCATTGGTGCCGACGGGAATTGAACCAGGGTTGTTCACATACTGAGAAACTTACAGCGAGCGCTTAGTCACCACTGAGGTAGTATGGTATTAATTAATAAAATAAAGATGACACATTTGTCAGAATGCCCCAATCAGCATATTTAAAGGAGTTTGGTATTCCTTCTTTTATTTGACAGTCCACAAGAGTCCCCCCCCCCCCTTGAGACGAAATTAGGTGATAAATTCTGTTATGCAGCTATCACATGTTACTTACAAATATATGTATATAGACATCCACATCTATCATCAATAAAGAATCAAAATTCAGGTGCGTTGGCACACGTGAGGACTAAGATGGAATGCCTCTTTTCAGTAAAAAGGGTCTCCGGTTCTCTACACTCACCATATGAAACACAGCAGTGTTAAGCCGCTATTTTACGCTGGTATTATGTGAGAGCGTGGTCCTTCCCCGGTCGAGCCGCCCCGTTCGTGCTACAGCTATACTACTAATATAGCAGCAACATGGCCCTACCACGTAAAATTTACATAAATCTAACAATACGTATCAAATTCCGTCAATCATAATTACAGCCCTGGTCCACATTGGTTATCGGTTCTTCGAGCTATGTGGCCGGGCCATTACCACATCCGTTGTTCTACGTCAGTTACTCCGATGCCTACTGCAAATATCCTCATTTCTAAGTCAGCATAGCCCCCTCCATGGTTCGTTGAGCGACCTTGAGCTTCCTCATACGGACGAAATCCGTCAATCCGTAAAACAAATCACAAAAGAACAGACAAACAGACACATACATACATTACCCTAAATACATAACCTAAGGGCATTAATATTGTACAATAGAGACAATGACATGCTCGTGTTAAACCTCTGCGTCAATATCCATGAGATCCATTTTAAATGTCACAGAGAATGTAATGACTGCACTTTTTTTTATTATATGCGAACTAAAAAGCTTCCTGCTCGACATAGCCGATCAAGCTTTGTAAACCATCGGAATGACTATATAGAGGTAAGTGGCTATAGAGCTGTCACTTGCAATAACCTTATTAATTATAAAGAATTCTCTTTGAACGTATTATAATTTTTGCAACGGCAATATTAAAGAATAAATTAAAAAGAATGGTTAGAAAAGACGGTCACTACACAAAATGGACACGGTTGAAAAATTTATATTATAATTATTTCTAGGTCAGCAAAGGTTTAACCTTGTTTAACCTTGATACAACGTTTGAGTAAATTAAGAGCCTAAGTAAGATGTAAGGCACGGCCCTCCTCTCAACTCTAAGGTTTTTCGGGCGGAAGATTTCACCTCGCCGTGCTAATGAGTCCTCAGACATGTAGGTTTCCTTAAAAAGTTTTCCTTCACCGCTGATAAAACAGAACTTAAAATTGCAACTTACAATTTCATTCTCGAAATCGGTTTGCTAAAGACGAGCGCTTATCCGATGAACTACCAAAGTTTAGTTAGATAAGTTTGAATGTGAATAAATGCAATATTATTAATGGGAAAATACTGTGATTTAGATATAATTTACTTTAGTGATAACAAATACATGGCAGATTATGAAATTTTACCATTTATATTAGATTTTGTAAGAACTGTTTATAAGCAACATTTAACATTTTAAGTAAAAACTAACATTATAGACAGATAAAATAAGCAATTCATAGAATCATTAATAAACTTTTGATTTCGATAGTAAAGGAAAACATTGAGAAGAGTTCATAGTGCAAAAAGAAAACAAAAAAAAATGAAATCATGTGTCATGCACTTCAACAATACGCACCGTAGCACCGCGGCTGGCTCATATCTACTTCATGACAGAAATTAGAGGCTGCGTATACCCAGAAAGTATGTTAGATGTAGCCTTTAATTTTAATTCAATGTCATAATAAACAATTCAAAATAATGTATACGTCTATTATTTATACATAAAAATCATCCAGCAGGATAAATTATAATATCCTTTATTGTACAAATATTGAAGGAAAACAGAAGGCGGTCTTTTTATAACAGCTTTTTATAACAAATTTATTTCAGACAACACAAATAAATAATTAAATAAAAGGAGGAAAAATATTAGTGAGTAAGATGCACTATAATAATGAAAGATAACAACTTAATGCACAACATACAGCATGCCTACAGGAGATCAATATTAATTGTAATCAATTTGTTTGATAATTGAAGTTTTTAGTTTTAGTTCATTTATAATAGTTTTTTTTTTTATTGTATCAATTTCGTATATTTTCAGAAGGCACATGTGCAATCTTTACGAATTTTTATAATCAATATAAAATATAAAGCAATATGATCCAATAAATTCTCTAGAAAATTTTAATAATCGAAGTTCTTAACCAACATCATTTGGTGACAACTAATTTTACTTTAAGAATTAGTTGTAGGTTTCCGTTGGTAGGTTTCACATTACTGCTTATAGACGTAATGTGAAACCTACCAACGGGAAAATTTAATAAAACAGATATATAATATATTGAATTGAATATAACGTAACGGTAAACCAAAATAACATTTAACCCTAGCCATAGTTTAAATGATAATCTCAATGAAGGACAATTGTTTTAAGACAAACTTTTACTGTAAAACGCTCCTATAATAGTTGAATGATAATGCTAGCGATGCTCAGCTTCCAGTGAATGCAACTCATAAGTCACAAAAGACAACTCACCCCAAACCAAGAAGAGCCTTGAAAATATTTTTATATGTTACATACCAAATCGGACAAACACGGCCGCCTCTACCCTTTACAATGTCTCGTTCAAAGTCAAGTACTGTATGGTATCAATGATTACCGAGCACTTTCAATATAAACTTCATGTTGCCTACGGCCGTATAAAAGACCCAGCGCGCCTCTGGACAGCATTCAGTAGCTATCGAGCAGTCTGACAAGAAGTGCAAGATGAGATTTCTGGTACGAACACATTTGAGTTTATCCTGTTAACAAATAGTGATAAGAGGAACGTGGTCTTCCAAATTTGAAATTCCCGCGCTTTCGAATATAGTTCAAAAATATTTTTTAAAAATTCTCCTTGTAATTCAGGTTATTGGTGTTGATCTTGTTCCATTATCACTATTGATGTAAAGCAACCTTATCGCAGCGAACTCATCACAGTAATATTCGCAACTCAACTCGTCAACATTTCCTGCGATCAGATTGCTTGTCTTTTGAATAATATTAAACGGTTTTTTTAATAATAGTTTTAAACAGCATTTGCTTTACAATAATACTTGACTATTTATCCTTATTTCTTATACGGACTGTTGAACTTGATACATTCCTGGGCTTCATATGTATAATATTGCTACGGTAATATAAATATTTCAAAGTAAATGTTAATACATTTCTTCTGCTCTATTTGGTAGATGTGATCGAATTCGTTTACACTTGCTGTATATTATTTTATCCTGTAGGGTAACGCCCATTGATAACTATGGGTTTAATAAAAAATATGATTCCCGAGGAATACTTTTAAAGCATACATTTTGATACCTAAAAATTCTATAGTACTGTTAATTTTAATTGAATATCAAATACACAAATACATATTTCAGAAGAGTTTTTATATTGCTTATATATGTAAATTGTAATGTGATAAAATATTCAAACTACTTTCTTAAAAATTCTAAATACTTCAAACGAAAAGAAACAAAGTATGCATTAACACCATACATTTAGGACTACGTGAAATATAAATGTGTAAACGTGCTTAGAAAAGCAAACCTTTATATTTACAAAAGAACAAGTCTCAAAATAATTTGCTACAATTTCACGCAGACTATGTTTAGACGTACGCAAGAAAACACTCGTTTTTCATAACCTGCTTATTCACACGTGTCACAACAAACGACCAAATGTAAAGATCTCTTATAGTACAGGCAACAAGTATAGTTCGTGAAGCATTTCATTCAAAAAAGGTTTTTATTACCTCGCAATAACTGTTATAATATACGCATTAGTGAGTTACAAACAAAGATCAAAAACCACAAGTCTGTTATTTACGGTCAACGACGTGTTCTGCGTGCGAAAGCAACGCTTCCTTCGGTCAAGGGCGCAATTTACAACTCGACTATGTTTGAGAATTAAAATGCAGACTGGATGATCGAAATAAAATTTTCTACATATTCAATTTAAAAAAAAAAACTTAAATAACGCATCGTCGTAATTGTCGCAGCAAAAATTAACTTTACAGCTTATTACATTTTGTTAGGCCGAAATATAAAAGGAACTTGCAGATCAATAATAGTACAGATATTTCTATGTCAAGACCAGTATTTCAAACAAGGCTTATAGTTAAGTAATTAAATTAATAGCAATCTAATAACAAGAACGTTGAACGTTTAAGGACAAGGTGTGGTCTGAATAATTTTCGTTTGCACTAGCCTTAATTACTGAACGCCTTGGTATTGATTGAAAACAGACGACATTATGTCACGTAATATATTAATATCAAATTTATCATAGATACAACTACTCGTACATTTAAAATTAATTTGAAACGAACCGTCTGCGTCTTTCAAATTATTCTTTGAAGATTATAGCGCATAATTGCATAAAACGCGATTAATTCTTAAATTTATGTAATCCTTCTATGATCTGGATTTATTTTCCCCATAACGAGCTTATGCACTTGACATACGATAATGGCAAGTGATTCAGAAATTCGCGTACTTACAATTTCAAACATCTTTATTAGTTACTGTAAAATATAGTAATATAGCAATTATTGATTAATTATTTAATTATTGGTCAATTATTGGTTTTAAAAATTACGATAACAACAACAGTTTTACGCCAATTACGCACAATAATATTAGCGGAACGAAAAAATTATGTGTTACCTAATTTCCTAACGCCGCTGTCGGCTAGTTCGATACATCCATCATTTATTATTGATACTGATTAAATATTATGTCGCTGTTTCGACCGTGCTCAAATGTTTCAAATGCTGAAATAACTGATAGAACAGATATATTGACAGATTCTGATTAATTTCTTTCTTCTAAGTTATATAAGAAATAGTTTTAGCATTCAATGAAGTCATAAAAAATGTAGCACACACAATTGCAATGATTTATTAAAACATTTTATAATTTACAATTAACTTACACTTACCTGTTATTGTTATTGTCTGTCTATCAATCTAAAATTGATTGTAACCTAAATATTTTCTAGTTACAGATAAATACTTCAATGTTTATATGTAGCAATGGAGGTCAACCGCAGCATTGCTACGAATGTATTATGCAAGAAAATAATATTCTATTGTTGTACCAAATACAGCGTGCGCTAATGTTTTTTTTTAAACAAAGGAATCTAGCATAACATTATAAATATCAAATAAGTATATGAATAAATTAACACGTCATGTTTCAATAAGCCTACAATCCATTCGTCCAATTATCGAAATGGTTTATTTTTGCGATATGATTTGCGTTTTCCTTTTTTTACTCATGAGATATTATATCAGCTCGGAATCCGCGTAAAGCCGTGACTAACATAAACTGCACGCCCGTAACCGGGAGGAGTAGGCGAAGCGACTAATGTCTAACTGACTCTCTTGATGCTTTTCCATCCTTATACCTACGTAAACATGCTCGTCGGTTAACGGTACTCTTAAGGGGACTGGACTGGTCTGTCACCCCTTTGCTCGATGGATCGGTCACGGTAACTAATATTAGACATTAATTTCCAGATCACTTTCGCCGCCGTCCTCGGCTATGCCTCCGCTTCGGTCATCGCCCCCCTAGTCTACGGCGCTAACGCCGGTGACGTCCAAGCCGCGGCCATCGACGCCACCGTCGCCGCCCAAGACCACGCCCGCGCCATCGGCGAGAGCCAAGCGCGCGCCGCCGAGGCCGTGCTGCAGCACAACACCGAGGCAGCTCGTCAAGTGGCAGAGACCAACCGAGACCTTCACGAGAACGCTTACTGGAACAATGTGGCCGCGTCGCAAAACTATGTTGCAGCCGCCCAGTCCCAGGCTGCAGCCCTGAACGGAGCCGCCGAGGCCTACCGCGCCGCCCACCTCGCCGGCCCCGCCTACGCCGCTCCTCTGGCCTACGCCGGCCTCGCCCACAACGCTTACGCCTACGGACCCTTCGGTCTCGGCCTTCACGCCTGGTAAACTGTCACCTTACTGCCAATTGTTAATAACGACTTTTGGCGATGTTAAATGTCGTTATTAACTTTACGGCTGCGTTTGGGATTTAACGGATCAATTGCCCTGACAACATTTGCTAGTTCTACAACATGCCAATGTTGCCAGGCAATCGACGCGTCCCTATCACCTCACCGCTCAGCCTCATAAGGAAACCGATTGCTCAACGGAAACAACACAAAGGTCTCAATAAAGTAACTCTCTTTGTAAATATAAAAAATTTCATGCCACCACTGCCAAAGTGTAAATAAAAAAAATTATATAACTTATATTTTTTTTCATTTATTGCCAGTCCTTATCAAAAATTGTGTGTCGACCATGACTACTACCTACACTATACTACTTAACGAGTAAAGCAGTTGGAAAATAAAATTCGTAAATAACTATTGGTATTATAGTTACTTACAAATATATCTATCTACCTAATTTTACATATAAGTATATGGCACATAGAACACGTAGTTACCTACATAAATTGAAAGATATGTTTTATATCAAAATCCGTCAAGGCGTACAAGATATCCCAACGGAACAGAAAAACAGATACACACACATTTACCCTAAATACATAATCTAAGGTCATTAATATAATCTTTACATATGAAATTGGTGTTTTGTCGAATTGGCCACAGTGATCTCAAATATCTGGCATTTGGTTAGGAATTGCATTTATGTTTCGAATCTAGTGAGATTCATTTGTTTTAACGCCATTTGATTTTTCTTTGACAACAAATGGCAAACATAAAATAATGCGTTATTTACGAATATGAGTTCCACCGTGATACCAGCGCTACAGAAACAGCTCGAAAGATTAATGATGTGCATGGGGAATCTACTGTAAAAGAAAATCACATCCCTTTTTTGGTGCCAATGTTTTCGTTCTGGAAATTTTGACCTAAAGAACAAACCCCGTGGATAAATGGAGACCCCAGTTGACAATGAAGAATTAAAAGTGATTATGGAAGCGGATCCATAGCAAACCACAGTAGAGTTAGTGGCAGGCTTCGGTGTGAGTAATAAAAGAATCTTAATTCACTTGAAACAAATTAGAAAAGTGCAAAATCTCGAAAAATGAGTACCGCATAAATTGAGTTAAGCACGCCAACACAAACGCGTTGAGTGCTGCGCTACATTACTCACCTGTCACAATAACGAGTTGATTTTGAATCGTATCGTTACTTGTGATGGAAAATGGATCCTGTACGATAATCAGAAACGCTCATCAAACTGGTTGGAGCCAGAAGAACTGGCCAAATACTGACCCAAGCGAAAGTTGATACAAAGGTACTGGTAAGTGTCAGGTGGACCAGTGCTGGTATCATCCACTACAGCTTGCTAAGATCTGGCCAGACGCTTACGGCAGATCTGTATTGTCAACAATTGCAAACCACGATGAAAAAGCAAGCTGTTAAACAACCTAGCTTGGTTGAAGCAACAGCTGCACAAGAGAAGGCCGCTAAATTAAAGGAGCTCCCACACCCACAATACTTGCCGGACTTTGCTCCAACAGGTTACCACTTTTTCGAAATCTAAACAATTACTTCCAAGAAAAAAAAATCAATTACGGTGAGGCAGTCAAAACCATCTTTAAATTTTTTTTACCAATTCTAGCTCCCACATTTTTTTAGCAAAGGAATCAATGAAGTGAACTACCTATAAAATGGCGAAAGTGTATAAGATAACAATGGTACATATTTTAATTGATTAAGGGTGGATTCGACCAAATACCATATAGTACCAGAGTTAGTAACCCTTGAATAACTTTACTCTTTAGTCTTACTCTCAGGTTATTTAGTTTGCGTTTTTCCATCACAAACATAGTGTAGCCAATACTGGGTATTGTAACTCTATAGTTGGTGAAAGAATAATGAATGAACATGTGAGCCAACTAAAATTGAAATACATTGTTTATAAAGCGCAACGCAAGATTTTTTTGTCCACATAATTTGCTCGATTATATTAGTGTCAACTGTAAATGAAAATTTCAATATTCATACGAGTTGTCAATTGATTAAAGTTATCTTAAAGTAGCGATCCCTCCCGGCTTTGCACTCTGAATTTCGACAACAGCTCCACCTATCGGGTACAATTGTGAATCTAAACCATCCAGGAACCCACTCAAATACACACAAAGAAATTCATGAGAATCGGTCGAGGCAGTTTCGACTTTTAGCGAGACTATAACGGACAGCAATTGCTTTTTATACGGATTGTAGGGATTAACATTTCATGTTTTAACAAGTTAATCTGTGACTTAAATGTGGATCCATTATTTACGCCTTTGATGAATGAACGTATAAGCCAACTAAAATTGAAATACAATCGTTTCTCAAGAGAAACGCAATATTTTATGTCCACACAATTTGCCAGCTTTATAATACTCGAAGTGACAACTGTCAATGAACTTTGAAATCTCAAAGTAATTACTCTAGCATAGAGGGAATCCTAAAATAAGTACAAAATTCTTGTAATTGAACTCTTATTGCATATTACGTGGTACAAAATAAGATAGATATATTATTCTCAACTTCTTTCTTTTATGTTTTGTATGGTTGTTGTCATTTTTCCATAGACACTTCTATTAATATGCAGTTAGCGAAACAAAAGACGTTGTCGTTGAATTCATTTAGTCTATGACTTAGTTAAATAATATTATATTATTATAAGGATTTTGATTAATCCCGTTCGTAGTTTTTATTTATACGAGGGTGGATTGAAAATTACTCGGCCTAACACAGATCCATTCAATTCTAAAAATCAAATCTACCCACATTATTTAGTTCAGTTCAGACTAGTTCATTGTGTGAAGTTCGAAACGTGTGCGATAATTAGTTGTGATTTTATAAATTTATTAACAAAGTAATCGGACATAATTTCCGCGAATGGAGCAAATCGAGCAGCGTGCCGTCATTAAGTACCTCCATAAGAAGGGGCTATCATCAAAAGCCATCCATGATGACATGGTCAGTACATCAGGCGATTGTGCTCTGTCATATTCATCCGTCAAAAAATGGATAGCAGAATTTAAGCGTGGTAGAGAGAGTGTGAAAGATGAACCCCGCTCTGGAAGGCCTTCGACGTCAACTACTGACGAAAATATTAAAAAAGTACTTGATTTAATAATGGGAGACCGCAGATTAAAAATTAGAGAGATAGCCGAGATTATAGGCATCTCTTATGAACGAACTCAAAACATCATTGTCAACGAGTTGGGTTTTCACAAAGTGTCTGCGAGGTGGGTTCCGCGACTGCTTTCAGTTGAACAAAAAAGGACGCGATTGACTATTTCACGCGACTGTTTGGAGTTATTTGAAGCCGATGCAGATGATTTTTTGAATCGTTTTGTTACTATGGACGAAACATGGGTTCGTTACTATACACCGGAAACAAAACAACAATCAAAACAGTGGAGAAGACCTGGTTCACCACCCCGTAAAAAGGCTAAGTCGATTTTGTCGGCAAATAAGGTGATGGCTTCAGTATTCTGGGACTCGAAAGGTGTGATTATGATTGATTATCTTGAAAGGGGTCAGAATATAAACTCTGATTACTACTGCACCTTACTACGTCGTTTACGAGAGGAAATAAAAGAAAAACGTCGAGGAATGCTCAGAAGAAAAGTCCTGTTTCATCAAGATAACGCCCGTGTTCACACGTCAGTACAGTCAATGGCTGAAATTCACAACTGTGGCTTTGAACTGTTACCGCATCCGCCGTATTCACCTGATCTGGCACCATCAGACTTCTTTCTGTTCCCTAACCTAAAAAAGCACTTGGGAGGTCAAAGATTTTCGACAAACGACGAGGTCAAAGCAGCTGTAGACGCATATTTTGACTCTAAGGAAGAATCATTTTTTTTCAACGGTCTAAATGCTTGGAAAGGGAAGTGGCAAAAGTGTATTGAACTTGATGGTGATTATGTAGAAAAATAAAAATATAACTGATTTAGTATTTGTTTATTTTCTTGGTTAGGCCGAGTACTTTTCAATCCACCCTCGTATGAACGAACACCAATAGAAGATTCATCTGATATCTTAAACAAAAACGCAGTCGAATGAGGCGGAATTTCGCACTAAAAGGATATAATTTAAAATATATTGTGAAAAGGTCACTATGAAGTCTATTTCCATAGCGGAGGCCTATGTTCAGCAGTGGACTTTAATAGTAGCGGAACAGTAGCAGAAATCTATTTAAATTCTGCCGGTACATTTCTACAAAGTACCCCTTTGAAATATTCTAATTATTTGTGTTTGTCTAATCGACACTGGATTCGCTTCACGGAACGTACGAAGAGGGCACTGCTACAATAGTATAATAACCGCGGCACCACTGCTGCCTGCCTTCTTCTTTTTCGCTCCATCACAACTACCAATAAATCCATTACGAACGTGTTACCAGCTCCCGCGAGATATTAGCCATCATTTATTCAATAAAGTTCATCTATCAAAAGTCCACTGCTGAACATAGGTCTTCTCTATAAATTGCCTCATAGGGAGAATATTTGCCATAGTTTTAACACATGAAGTTAAAGTCTAACTCTTGAGTAATTAGTGATTTTATACGTAGGATAAGACTTATTTCTTTTTTAAAGATTTTAAGTGATCGTTGAATTGTTGCATAGTTGATCGTTGGAGCCACACGCAAGTGTGAGTAACGATCCATCCAAGAGCAAGTCTTATTGGACACTATTCCGATGATTCCGGACGTCAGTTTGAGGGAGATTAGAATGGCTCTCCAGCACCTTATCAACGGCAAGTCCTCGGACGAAAATGGAATTAGAGCAGAGTCTCTGAAAGTGGGTGGAAAACCGGTACTTGTAATTGTTTTTATAGGATAGGGTGACAAACGATCACACAGTCAACCTGATGGTAAGTGGTTGCTGTGACCCATAGACATCTACATCTACCCTAAATAAAGAATCAAAATGCAGATGCGTTGTCACCCGTGAGGACTAAGATGAAATACTTCTTTCCCAGTAAAAAAGGTCTCCGGTTCTCTACGCTCACCATACACAACACAGCAGTGTTAAGCTACTATTTTACGCTGGAATTCTGTGACAGCGCGGTCCTTCCCCGGTCGAGCCGACCCATTCGTGCTACAACTATACTATCAATATAGCTGCAGCATGACTCTACCACTTATGAAGTCCTTCAGAAGCTCTTTAATTCCGCCCTCCATGGTGACACTACACCGGAGACGTGGAGCAGAAGTGCGGTGGTCTTGTCCTACAAGAAAGACGACAACGCTCTCTTGAAGAACTACAGACCGATTTCCCTTCTGCGCCGCGTCTACGTGCTGTTTTCGAGAGTCATTACGAATCGTCTCGCACGCAGTCTCGACGACTTCCAGCCTCCCGAACAAGCCGGTTTCCGAAAAGGCTTTAGTACCATAGACCGCATACATACCCGTCGGCAAATTGTACACAAGACCGAAGAGTACAATCTGCCTGCTACTTTGTCTTGCGTACGTGAACTATGAAAAAGCCTTTGATTCCGTCGAAATTTGGGCGGTGATTCAGTCCCTTCAGAGTGACTGTCGGTATATCGAAGTGATGAAGTGGTTGTACACTAGGGCTACGATGACTATCTGAGTACAGAACCAGAGTACTAAACCTATCCAACTGCAGAGAGGTGTACGACAGGTGACGTTATATCCCCGAAACTCTTCACCGCTGGATTGGTAGATGTTTTCAAGCTTCGCTGCACTGCGGAAAGGATACGATATAAACATCAATGGCGAGTACATCACTCACTTTCGATTTGCCGACATATAGTCCTTATGGCAGAATCGCTGAAGGACCTAAGCACTATGCTAAATGACCTCAATAGTGCCTCGTAACGCATAGGTCTTAAGACGAACATGGACAAAACAAAAATCAAGTATAACTTCAATGTCACACCTATGTCGGTAGTTGTTGGGAGCACTAAGCTCGAAGTTATTGATGAGAATGTTTACTTGGGACAAAAAGTTCGACTAGGTAAGTCCAACTTCGACCGAGTGGTCAATCGACGGATTCAATTAGGCTGGGCAGCGTTTGGGAAATTACGACACATCTTCTCGTCAGGTATACCTCAAAATTCGAGACTGTACATCCAGTGCGTGTTGCCAGTGATGACTTATGGAACTGACACGTGGTCCTTCATTGCTGGCCGTATGATGAAGCTCAATGTCGCTCAGCGGGTTATGGAGTGGATTATGCTCGGGGTTTATCTACGTGATAAACTTAGAAATGAGGATATCCGCAGTAGAACCAGAATGACCGACATAGCCCAACGGATTAGTCAGCTAAAGTGGCAATGGGCCGGCTATATAGCTCGAAGAACCAACAACCGATGGGGAAAAAAGGTTCTCGAGTGGCAGCCTCGTACCAGTAGGCGAAGTGTAGGGCGACCTCCGACTAGATGGAGTGACGATCCGGTAAGACATGCAGGAAGTCGATGGATGCAGCTGGCTCAGGATCGCGCTTCGTGTCATTCCTTGAGGGAGTCCTATGTTCAGCAGTGAACTTTTTCGTTGTGCTTTTGTCATATAAAACGTCAATTTGTTGTGTAAGGGCCTTTTTATAGAATAAAGGTGTGATGGTGAGTGGATGCTGTTGCCCGTAGACATCTACATCTATCCTCAATTAAGAATCAAAATGCAGAGGCGTTGTGACCCATGAAACTAAGATGGGATGCCTCGTATCCAATAAAAATGGTCTCCAGTTCTCTACACTCACCATACGTAACACAGCAACATTGAGCTGCTATTTTAGCTGGTATTCTAAGCCGACCCATTCGCGCTATCACTATAATATAGCTGCAGCATGGCTCTACCACGTAAGAAACCTTACCTACTTATATCGGACCTAATATTGTACAATAGAGACAATGAAACACTCGCGTCAAATTTCTGCGTCAATATCCATGAGATCCATTTTAAATGTCACAGAGAATGTAATGACTGCACTTTTTTTTTATTATTATATGCGAACTAAAAAGCTTCCTGCTCGACATAGTCGATCAGCAGCTTTGTAAACCATCGGAATGACTATATAGAGGTAAGTGGCTATAGAGCTGTCACTTGCAATAACTTAATTAATTATAAAGAAATTGCTTTGAATGTATTACAAGTTTTGCAACGGAAATATTAAAGAAAATAAATTAATTAAAAATAATGGTTAGAAACGACGGTCACTATACAATATGAACACGGTTGAAAAATTTAAATTATAATTATTTCTAGGTCAAAAAAGGTTAAATAATACAGTGTTTGAGTGAAGTAACAGCCTATGTAAGATATAAGTGTAAATGCTGGCCGGCCCTGCTCTCAATTCCGAGATGATTGTTGATAGATTTTATTTTGATTTTATTTTGAGATTAGATTTTGATACGTTGTAGCACGAATGGGTCGGCTGGACCGGGGAAGGACCACACTCTCACAGAATACCAGCGTCAAATAGCAGCTTAATGCTGCTGTGTTTCGTATGGTGAGTGCAGAGAACCGGAGACCCTTTTTACTAGAAAAGAGGCATTCTATCTTAGTCCTCACGGCTGACAACGCATCTGCATTTTAATTCGCAAACGAAGATAGATGCAGATGTCTATAGGCCACAGCAACTACTTAGCATCAGGTGGACTATGTGCTCGTATATCACCCTAATTCTATACAGAAAAAAGATTGTGTCAGATCTCTTTATGCAGCAAAAAATTGAACAATGGGGCATTTCTATAAGACGTCGATTCAGCCCCGCAACTAGATTTAGTCTAATGAGCAGTGTGGCCTGCTACTAGTTGTATTGTAAGCATAGGATCGCTTCGATTTGTACTTTGTCAAAGGGGAACGCCTGAGTAGGGCTACTCTCCTCCAATCCGCCGGTGGCCCGTCTTGCTCTATGCAATACAATACTCTTTATTGTACAAATATTGAGGGAAAACAGAAAGTGGTCTCTTTGTTATGTACATTAATTTCTTTTAGATAACAGAAAAAATAATTAAATAAAAGGAAGAGATAGGCTAGCGAATAGGGTGCATAATTAAACGGTAACAATTTAATGCACTAAAAGAGGCAACCTATAGGATACCTTACCTATAGCCGCACATATAAATCGTCTTTGATATATATATATACCAAAGGAACATGTGCTATCTTTACGAATCTTCATATTCAATTTTACAACAAATAATTTTACTTTAAAAAGAGTATACGTAATAATACCAAAATTTACGAAGTGTAAAATGTATAAATTAAATGTATAATATATTAAATTGAAACAAATGTATAATATATTTAATTAAATTGAAACGTTATAAGATAACAAATTAACATTCCATAGTGTAGCCATCGTTAAGTTTAGACGATAATCTTAATGAAGAAAATTTGTTTCAAGACAAACTTCTACTGTAAATCGCTGCAATAACTTGAGCAATGACGCTAGCGATGCTCAGCTCCCAGTGAATGCAACTCATATGTCACAAGAGACAACTTACCACAAACCAAGAAGAGCCTTGAAAATTTTTATATGTTACATACCAAACTGGACAAACACGGCCGCCTCTGCCCTTTACAGTTTCGTCCAAAGTCAAGAACTGTATGGTATCAATGATTACCGAGCACTTTCAATATTATTTTATGTTGTTTACGGTCGTATAAAAGACCTAGCGCGTCTCTGGACAGCATTCAGTAGCTATCGAGCAGTCTGACAAGAAGTGCAAGATGAGATTTCTGGTACGAACACATTTGAGTTTATCCTGTTAACAAATAGTGATAAGAGGAACGCGGACTTCCAAATTTGAAATTCCCGCGCTTTCTTAGCTCAATTATCACTATTGATGTAAAGCAACCTTGTCACAGCGAATTCATCACAGTAATATATTTGCAACGCAACTCATCAACATTTCCTGCGACCATATTGCTTGTCTTTTGAAAAATATTTAACGTTTTTTTTTTTTAAATTGCTAAAACAGTTGTTGCTTTACTATAATACTTTACTATTTATTCCCATTCCTTATAGGAACTGATAAATTTGATGAAATTTCTGGGCTTCATATGCACAATATACACAATATAAACACTTAAAAGTATCATGTTAAATTTCGACATATTTCTTTTGCTCTATTTGTTTGATGTCGAACGTATTCGTTTACAATTACTGTATATTAATTTCTCGTTGCAGGTTAAGGCCAATTAATAAGTATGTGTTTAATAAAAAGATATTAAACACATGCTTATTAATTGGCCTTTTAGTTTTACAGTTTCAGTTTAACTCCTGAAGAGTACTTTTAATGCAAGCATTTTGATAACAAAAAATTCTATATTACTATTGATCTTATTTAAATATCAAGTATGCAAATAAATAACTCAAGAGAGTGATTATATTGCTTAGGGTGGACTCGACCAAATACCATTTATACCAGAGTAACTAGCTTTCGAATAATTTCACTCTTCTCACTCTCAGATAACTTGGTTTGCGTAATGCGTCACGGTTACTAACATTAGGTATTAATTTCCAGATCACTTTCGCCGCCGTCCTCGGCTTCGCCTCCGCTTCGGTCATCGCCCCCATAGCCTACGGCGCCAACGCCGGTGACGTCCAGGCCGCAGTCATCGACGCCACCGTCGCCGCCCAGGACCACGCCCGTGCCATCGGCGAGAATCAGGCGCGCGCCGCCGAGGCAGTTCGTCAAGTGGCAGAGACCAACCGGGACCTTCACGAGAACGCTTATTGGAACAATGTGGCCGCGTCACAAAACTACGTCGCAGCCGCCCAGGCCCAGACTGCAGCCCTGAATGGAGCTGCCGTAGCCTACCGCGCCGCCCACCTTGCCGGCCCCGCCTACGCACCTCTGGCCTACGCCGGCCTCGGCCTCAATGCTTACGGCTACGGACCCTATGGTCTTGGCCTTCACGCCTGGTAAAGCGTCGCCTTACCGCATAGCGTTAATAACGACATTTGACGATGTTTAACGTCGTTATTAACTTTACGGCTGCGTTTGGGATTTAACGAATCGATTGCTCCTGACAACATTTACTTGTTCTACAACATGCCGATGTTGCCAGGCAATCGACGCGTCCCTATCACCTCACCGCTCAGCCTCATAAGGAAACCGATTGCTCAACGGAAACAACACAAAGGTCTCAATAAAGTAACTCTCTTTGTGAATACAAAACATTTCATGCCATCACTGCCAAAGTGAAAATAAAAAATATGATACACATAACTTTTTTCTTTTATTACCTGTCCTCATCAAAAATGGTTGTCAAACATGGCTACTACCTATACTACTTAACGAATAAAGCACAAACGAATAAGTTACAAAACAGCCACCATTCGTGCTAGTGCTGAACAGGCCTCCTCTTAAAACTGCCTCTACTGACTGTGTTGGCTACATATAACTTCGGAATATTTTAGTTTAACTGCCATGCTGGTTTATCTGAAGCACATAGTAAATATCATAACTTTTAACTAAAATTGAGATTTACAGAGTGGTAGCGGTTGTGGCGGTTATCGAACTTGGGCTGTTTGCGTGCTATGAAATTTAAGGTGGCCTACAAGCCTCTAGTCGGACTATTTGTCCCAACTTCAGTAACGTCAACAACTTCGAGCTTTGTGCTCCCAACAACTACCGGCATAGGTGTGTGACATGGACGTTACACATGACTTTTGTTTTATCCATGTTCATCTTAAGTTCTTAAGACCTATTCGTTGGGATACACTATTGAGGTCCTTGAGCATAGTGTTTAGGTCTTCCAGCTAGTCTGCCATAAGGAGTATATCGTCAGCAAATCGAAGGTGAATGACGTACTCGCCATTGATGTTAATACCGTATCCTTTTCAGTCCAGTAGCTTTAAAAAGTCTTCGAAAGCAGTGGCATAATTTGCCTGATTTTCGAATCGAAAATAGGTCTTTTTCTTGATATAAGTGAATAGTTCTGAAGTTTGAAAAAAGTTTGAAAATGAAAAGACATTTAGTGGTACGTAGCATTCAGAAACGAGAATTTCACTAATGTATCGATTCTTTACTTTAATCGATTTAACGACATAAAACTGATTTTTTTTTTCTATTTTTTCCGTATTTGAATATATTTTATTTCCAATTGGGTTCACATAATATCATGCAAATTAAATAACACAACTTTAATGAAACCTTAGCTTTTTTTATTTATTGGATCTTATTTTTATGTTTTCTCGAATTCGAGTTTATAAAGCGAGCCAGTTTTTTGTAAAACAAAATAAAGCAAAATAAAGTCATTTTTTAAAGTACAAACCAATTTGTTAACTTCAGGCCCAAAAATCCCATTCTCTTATATTGATGAACAAATAAGACATTCTTTTTTTTATAGAATATACTATATGCATGTCACAAATGACATAAATTATTACAGCATTCTTATGCACTAATGACTTTTTTCTAGATTGGCTACCACAAATCTGGCAGTCGAGTTTGTCACAAGAAAGAGTCTAGCTTGTACAAAGTGGACACCTAATTTAATTCGTCAAAGAATTATATGCAGTCGCGTTTTCTTTTCTAAGCACGGTCTTCGAGTCAAAGAAAAATTTATTCTCGTAAAAATTTGCCAATTCACTTTCATGATACATAAAAAATTTGAAACAAAAACAAGAATGAGCTTGCAATGCTTCGAATGATTTTAACCTATTATATAAACGAAAACTTAATAACTTGACTTCAGCCTCACTTATATATGGCTATATTATATGGCTACGAAACATCACTTCAATAAAACAAACATTGCGTTGCGTTGTGACTATATGGGTATAGAAAAATATATATTTTTAAATTAAGTAACAAACAAACTAACAGTTCACCTGAAGTGTCATTTAAAATAATATTTCTTTAATGGAAAGATAAGAAAAGTGCGAAGACATTGGATATTATTCCATCTCGCTCGCACTATAGAAAGCGTCGTAACGGAAATATTTTACTTTTTTCTCGTCTAGCCCCCATCCGCCATATTCATACCGTGCGATAAGGAACTTCACCCTAAGTGGCTACTGCAGTCCATGGACACCTGCAGCCAACTTTAAACAAAGAAGGCTACAGATGCGTTGTTACCTGTGAGGACTAAGATGAAATGCCTCACATCCTGTAATTATTGGGGTTTTCTATACCATTCAGACCTGGATACAGCAGTGCGCGCTATGCTGCTTGGCGGCAGAAAAATGTGATACGATTAGCACTATACGGACTCCTAGGCAGATAACAAGTCCTACCACCATAGATTATAAATGACGCACGTACGCAGTAGTATAATAAGTCTACGTCCACCACCCACACGTACATATCAAGAAAACAATACTTTTAAACATGTATTTTTTTTTATAGGATAAGGGTGACAAACGAGCACACAGTCCACCTGATGGTAAGTGGTTGCTGTGGCTCATAGACGTCTACATTTATCCTCGATTACGAATCAAAATGCAGATGCGTCGTCACCCGTGAGGACTAAGATGGAATGCCTCATTTCCAGTAAAAAGGGTCTCCGGTTCTCTACACTCACCATACGAAACATAGCAGCATTAAGCTGCTATTTTACGCTGGTATTCTGTGAGAGCGTGGTCCTTCACCGGTTGAGCCGACCCATTCGTGTTACAACTATACCAGAAATATAGCTGCAGCATGGCTCTACCACGTAAAATATTTATCATTAATTAAAAAAATATTTATATATTAATGTATATTTTATTTTGTATATTATAATAGTCTTAACAGAGACTAGCCATCTGGGCAGGATTATAATGCTAAGGTGTGTGCGCAAACAAGTGCACTCTCTATTCCCTCCCTCTCGTAGTCCGATGGGCCGGCAATCCGACACGACCGGAGGGGGATCAGGCGCAGGGCCAACGATTTTACGTGGTTTCTAATGCTCTGAGCTGCTATTGAGAATTTCTTGACAAAAACTTTCAATATCTGATATTTTGGCCCGATATGGAATTCGAATCCAGAGCCTCATGATCAACATTCATATTTACGACCACTTGACCAACGAAATAGTCAAATCTAGTATATAGGTCTATAAAAATATATAAAAATAATTCGCAACATAGAAACACCTCCCCTGGCAATTTCGAAATCCAAGACACTGAGGAAATTACATGGTAAGAGAAGCAGGTACTTGGAACTCTCTGGAAAACATATCGTTCAAAAAGTGTGCAATGGTGGAATACTTACTATATCTTTAGTACTTACTAGCTGTTCCCCGCGACTTCGCCGCGTGTAATTTAGGTTTTTAATTTTTGCGCGGTACCCTAATTCTTTTTCTAAAACAAAATTAGCCTAAGTTACTCCTTATAACATCAGCTGTCTGCTAGTGAAAGTCCCATCAAAATCGGTCCAGCCGTTTCGGAGATTAGCCGGAACAAACAGACAGATAGACAGACGGACAGACAGACAGACAGATAAAAATTTTTAAAATTGTGTTTTGTTTTAAGTACCATATATACTTTCATATGCATTTAGTGAAAATCTGTTATTTTGACATTACAAACAGACACTCCAATTTTATTTATTTGTAGTATAGATTACAATGGACGTAAGAAACAACTATCAGACAGGCGTGTACGATTTACTTCAATATCTAGACTACCTTGATGAGGGCGTAGACTAGTTAGGTACGTGACAGAACATACAGCTATAAATTTGAACAAACAAATTGTATTGATTTAATCCTGATAATTTGAGATTATGTAACATATTATGCGATAGAAACTTAATAATTCGTTATAAACATACAACTAAACATCATTTGGTGCCGTAATTATATCAAAAGTTTAACTACCACAGAAGAAGGGTTATGTTTTTCGAGTATGTAAATATATATATATGAATGTACTTGTGTATATTTCTTTGGCACGCTCTGTAGCCTAAACGGCTTAAAGAATTTAATACATATGGGGTTTCGTTAATTTGTATTGGTCTTGAAAGTGACACAGGACTGTATTGAAGAAAATCCTCGTTTAAGTTAACTTTTTTACGTAGTCGAGTTTTCTTTATTACCCGACTGCCCCAGACGGAGTGTAATATTTTGGAGTGGCTACATAACCATAAACGAGTTCATGGATAATAACGTAAGATTTGTCGTTAGATTCATCATAGTTGTCGAAGTGTATGAAGATTTTTATCTCTTCAGTAAACTATTTTACGTATTCCGTTTTTTACTTACTGTTTTAATCATGGGACTCTTTATTTGAAGAAAAAACATGCGTGAGTGTCGTGGAACACGCCGTTGGAACGAAGTTCCTTTCGTATTATTGATAAACGTATTATATTACTGATTAACAAATACAAATAAATTAATTACTAGCACTTATTATAATGAAGCGTCATTTAAAATAACATTTCGATCATGGCAAGATAAAAAAGTGCGACGACGTTGGATATTATTCCATATCGCTCGCACTATAGACAGGGTCGTAGCGGAAAAATCTTACACTTTTTTCTCGCCTAGCCCCCATCCGCCAAATTCGTAAATAAGGAATTTCGTTCCAAAAAACCCAGTTCAACAAATTATAGATTAAATATAGCTCATAACAAATAAACACAATATTTATTTATTTTTATTAAAATACCGAAAGCACTTTTCCTTCGCACCGACCGTGTGTACTCGCCACTTCCAATTGGAGAATTTATTTATGAATGTAGATCGCCTTGAGTGTGAATATATGAATAAAATCAGAACTACTTACTTACCTATTGTAGCAGTAATGATATAGCTGTGTTCATGTTTATCTGACGTGTACTATTACTTTTGCCGCTTCCGCGCAATCAAATCTAATTACTTATTAAAACACATGCAATGTTAAGGTCGTTGTGAAATGTAACCTCGACTATTCAAATTAGATTTTTTATTACTCTAAAATTTACCAATTGTGAAAGACCGTATGAGTGTTGTTGAAAAG